CCCCCTACCCCATTAAGGCTTTCCAGTCCTTCAGAAACATAGAAATACCTGAGCTTAGCACTCGTTTAGTCAGCATAATTAATTAACTAGTAATCTTTTACCAAATGCAGGCGCCCCTCCCCCTGAGTTTTTCCTTGTCCACTTCTGAATCTCATGGCAACCTCTCCAGTAATATCTGAGGGTACTTTTGCAATACTTCTCTCACTGCAAAAACTCATCATTATAATTCTTGTCACAACTAGCGGCAGCTTTCCTAAATGGAAAGTATGTGAAGACCATCCAGGAAATAAAACTGCTTTCAGACTAATTCCCAGAATTTGCCTAATTGAAAAGCAGACTGATACTGCCTCCCAGAAATAGTAAGTAAGGGAAGGCAAGGTCATTATTTTTATTATTATTATTTGGGGGGGGCAGTTGTGGTTAAGTGACTTGCCCAGGGTCACACAGCTATTAAGTGTCAAGTGTTTGGTCTGAGGCTGGATTTGAACTCAGGTCATCCTGACTCCAGGGACAGTGCTCTATCCACTGCACTACTTGGCTGCCCCAGGCAAGGTCACTGTTAAAGGTCTAACCTGGAATACTTCATTGTGTTCTTTTGCTTGCAACGTTCATCCATACAACTCATGACTCATTCTATCTATGGAATAATATTCAAAGTTAAAATGTCTTTCTGGAGACAAACAAGTGTGGCTGTTTACTCTGTGTGAGGAATTAAACCATTATAAAATAATAGTATTAAATATGTTTAATTTTTAATTTCTAAATTACATATTGTCATTAAGATACATAGAATATGTAAAATTGAAGCAAATATTTTTGTATCCTGGAGGTAGTCTTCTCCAAGTCCATACTTTAAACTTTCTTCATATTCAGGGCACTCTGTATTTTTAATCACTCAAAATGATTTGGACTCTAGTTTGATAAATTGGTTCATCTGACAGAAAAATGGTCTCACTGTAATAGTGAAATTGTATCTTGAAAAAAAGAAAGAATTAAGCCACAACTCCTTAGGACAAACTATAAATAACCACAACTTGAGGATGAAGAAACTTGCTCAGAATAACATTCAATTACTGGGGATAATTCTGATTTTGCAGGTGGGTGGTTCTTATTTCCTTCTCGAGTGAGTAATCAACAGGACTGTTTTCTTATACCTGTTATTCCTCTAAGGTCTAGTCTAGATTGACCTCTCCCACCCCAGGGAATCTCCTGACCTAATCCACACAAGACCAATTAGAATGATTACAGCCTAGAATAGCTTACCACAGGCGTTCCCTGATTTCTACCTACTATCAAAGAGTAGATCATAGGTGTCCCCCAAATACCCTGGAACATAGGGGATGTGGTACAGGGTACAGAATCCCTAAATAATACTGTGATTATTTAAAAAGCAGTACATACATTTATAGAGAGCTCTGCTATGTCCTGTGTGGAGAGTATCTCCAGTGTGTACCAATCTCTTTAATGGGCACCCAAATGTATCCCAGATGAAGCCCTGGGAGTTGGACCAGTGCTGGGGCTTACTTCAGTGACTTGTACTCAGAGGTTGGTGTCCCCAAAGGGCAGCTGCTGCCTTAGGTTCTCTTGTAAATTAGTTATGTCTCATGCAAAGATCTCCACATGTAAATCCGTTTCAGCATGTAGGCTTTTATTCACATGTGCACTGGTTTCTAAGTATAACAAATACTGGGGAGCAGCTCCCACATGGTGGGTTTAATAGAGGTCACCTAGATTTTTAGGCAGCCTTTCTCTTCCATAGCCAAGAGGAAGAAAGAGAAAGATAGACAGAGGGATAGAGAGACATTGATTCAGAGATAGAAAAAGAGAGGGAGGAACAGAGACAGAGAGATAGAGAGAGCTGGGTCATTCCTTTTATATGCACACTGAGTTCAACATGGAAACTCTTGTCATCAGTTCTTAGGAACAGTTAGATGACTCTTCTTTAACACATAGCAGATGCCCCTTAATTAGTCATGGCCAGAAGAAAAAGGCTCTTCACAATCATCCACTTGCCCTAGAACCAGGTAGGGAGTACCTGTGCGTGTGCCACCAACTGGCTTCCTTGTGGCCAATATACCCATGTATATTGGTATTAAAGAAATAATCAGTTTTTGAAGCATTTTATTGATCTTTCTATCACTAAATGTTTTATGCATGATTACCAAATACTCATCTTTGTCAGAAGGGAAACATCACCCAAAAAAAGGACCCTCCAATTGACATCTGTTTGTTCTTTACAAGAGAGTAAACATAATTTTTCATCTTGGCAATACAAACGTCTTTAACTATGGGTCAAAAATAACGTAACAATGCACAAAGAGCACAACGAAGTATTGTAGAATAAGTGTCCTGATTTTAACAACATTGTGCATTAAGTGGAATAAAAGTTGTCCATGGAGACAGGAAGACCTAGGTTCAAATTCTCCCTCTTACATATAATAACGATGCTACTCTGGGTTTACTGTCCAACCTCTCAGCATCCCAAGAAAGTAAGGCAATAAGTTACAGGCTAAAATATGAATGGAAGCTGTACTATGAACTACAAAATTGTTGATATGCATCAGTAGAATCCCCTCATTGATGAAATCTCAGGTGTAGACTACCTCAAACAAATTACAGATGACAAGTCAAAAATAAGTCATAGCAAAAGCAAAGGGAAACAAGGTGAAAGGGTGAAATAAGAGAGGGAAAAAATCAAGTGACAAACATTACAGAATACATGAATGAAAATGCTAAACATTTTATTCATTCTCTACCTATTTTCTACATGTTTCATATACAATTACAAAAGACAAATTAGGTCTGGTTGGCAACAGTAAAGCAAAAAAAATAGCACCACATGTCTATTGTATCATTTGTTCTCTTGTGATCACCAGTAACCTTTGATCTGCTGTTGGAAAATATGGCAACCCAAAAGACAAGTTAAGGGGAACCCTTAATATTCCTCAACAATGTACCCGTTGTATCCTGCAACAGAACATAAGTGTTTTGAAGATAGAGTTTTATTTTTCTCTTTGTATCCCTTGCACCTAACACAATACTTGGCACACAGTAAGTGCTCAATAAATGCATAGTGAATTGAAATCTAATATTTCATGCTTACTAGTGTAGCACTTGAGTTGTCCATGTTTGTTATCCCTGCTTCTCATCACATGACTAACCCACCTCCTTTCCATGCTCTGTACATGGAATGGTGTCTTTCCATCATGCACACAAGCCCTTCTAGTAATACATTACAAATAACAGAACTTACATGCACCATAAGTCTTTCCTTCATTCTTTGGGATTCCTGCCATTTTGGTTTTTCCAAGATTGTTGTGTGCTTATGGCTATAGAGCATCACTGGCAAGAATACTACTGTTAAAAGAAGAGTTTTTGCAGCACTAAGGAGATTAGAATCATTAAATACACTGATCTCCCAATGCTGTCTAGCCTGATTTCCTCCTTTGATCTCCATTCCCAGCTTTTGCCTGTTTGTGGCACATATGGGTTATCCAGGATTTCATACAGCATACATGGAGAGAAGTTACCAGAGATAAGACTGAAAATTGAGGGTGGTGCCAGATAATGGAGGACCTTAAAGGCTGTGGAAAAGAGTAATGCCTGGGAAAGGAATCTGACCTTCACTTGGTATGCAATAGGAAGATGCTGATGGTTTTTGAGAAGTGTGAAAGAAGCAGATCTACGGGCCAAAGAACGCATCTGGCAGATGTATGAATGAGAGATTGGGGGGGAAGGTAATTGAGATCAGAGGACCTGTTAGAAAATATTCTACTTGTCTAGGCAGGCGATAATTGAAGTCTGCACCAGAAACGATGTAGTGGAAATATTGCTGTTTGTCCTCCATTCTCATAGATGACAATGACATCATAGAGGTGATGCTATGACATGCAAGTGAATTGGATGGCATCACCTCCTTGATGTCGTGGTAGTGGAACTATAGAATAGGGAAATGGATATGTGTAAAAGCTGTTACACAGATAGAACTTCAAAGATTTCTAAATTGGATGGAAAACCTTAAGTTCTCGTCATCCAGGGAAGCAGCTTCTATCACGATGGGACAAGTGATCTCCACCAACCGCCAACTAACCAACACCTCCAAGGCAAGCAAACCATCATAGCTGAAGCAGCAAGGCACCTGGGGGGAGAGGTAGAAGGTGGTATGTGCCAGGGGAATCAAGTCACCCCCAAAACTTCCACACCTCCCATGAGACTCTGATGAAGATAGCCAAAGTCCCTGAACCCAAGAGCTCTAGGAGTATCACTGTCCCCTAGAACACTGATCCTGCTTTAGCACAGGTCCTGAAGCCAGAAATGAGAGGAGCAATCACTGTGGGAAAAGGGCCCAACTTCCTCACCACCACCAACAGCTGACCAACTGCCACTGAAGGACCAGTAAGCCCAAGAACCCAGAGAGTGAAAAAACTCTCTAGACCAACCTGTCCTACTTCCAAGCCCAGCCTCTGAAGCCATCATCCCAGAAGGCAACCCAGAAAGGAGATGGGACCTGTCCACTACTTCTCCAGGTACTAAACCTCCACCTCTTCTGTAATCACACTTACTGGAGACCCAGACAAGAAATTTCTCCCCACCAAAGATCTTGGTACTGTCAAATGGTCCAACATTATAAATGGACACTAATGTAAGTGTCAGCCTCTATCTTTATACAACAGGGAGCAAGAGGCACAATATTTCCTTGTTGCTATTTTTCCATTTGCTGATACTACTGTTTTACATGATAAAGCATTCATGGATGCAAGTAGATGCTTGATATACAGTTGAAACTTGAAAGTGAGAGTTCATCCTTTCCAGGGAAGGTAGAGGGAAGAGCTCATCTAATTACCTCACATTCATTGTTTTCTTTGCTCAGATTGGTGAGGAGAGGCAGCTTGATATGGTTGATGAGTCTTGGGCACATAATAAGAAATGTGAATTCTAACACACATCAATTGTGAGATCATGGGCAAGTCACTTAAACCTCTCTGAGACTCAATTTCCTAATGTGTCAAATGAGGTTATAGTACCTACTTTACAAGGTTGTAGCAGAGCTACAGTGTTCCGTGCAGAGACTGTCCCAAAAGTCTTAATGCTGTTTTAAACTTTAATAGCTTTGGGGGTGTCTTAAAAAATTAAAGCCTTATATAATCATCGGTTGTTTCTATTTGGTCCATGCCTGCCAAAAAGTAGCTTGCCCATTTTCTAGTGTATGGCATTCTGCCTGAATGACACTTTACCATTCACAAAATTCAAAGCTTCTTTTTGGAGGAGAGAGATTTTATCTTATTGAAACCATGGTCCGAAGGTACATTGCCAGCAGTATAGTAAAAAAAAAATAGTTAATATGTTCCGGGATAGCCACTAATCAGCATAATTTTCTTTCACATTTACTGAGAAAGAATTTCTCCTAAAAACTGTTTGTAAATGATCCACACACCTCTGTCTGAAGAGTCTTCTTGTCTTTCTCCAGCAGTACTGCATGGTCCTTATGAACTGGGTCAGCTGTTCTTTTGAAGGGCACATGGTGCGTAGAGGAAAGTGCTTCAAGGGGTGGGTCAAAAGGAGACTGAAAAGAGAAATTGCAGCCTATGTGTGTGAGCCTTTACCACCAGACTTTTGGATAGAACTCTAAAATGCCACCCCACTACAGTCACTCAGATGGGTAACAAGTAACAGCAATATTCTTCCCCACAAACATAGTACACATTATTAATGGTCCCCAAAAAACAACGCTACTATGACAATCAGCAAAGAGTCTTTACCTCTTTTTTGAGAAATAAGATGAAACAGTTTTCTTGTGTATACATAATTGTTTGCTTGTTGCCGTCCCCATTAGAACTGGGAGCTCCTTGAGGGCAGGGGACTGTCTTTTGCCTTTCTTTGAGTCCCCCATGCTTAGCATAGTGACGGACACATACCTGGCATTTAATAAATGCTGGTTGTCTTAAGTTGACAGGAAGGTGAATGTGTCTCTCTAGACAGATCTATTGGGTACAAGGACCATGAAAATTTATACCAGATAGAGAGAGAGAGAGAGAGAGAGAGAGAAAGAAAATGAGAGAGACAGAGAGAGAGAGAAAGAGACAGAGACAGACAGAAGGAGTGGAAGGAAGGGAGGAAAGAAGGAAGAAAGGATAGAAGTAATGAAGGAAAGAAAGAAAGAAGGATGGAAGGAAGGAAGGAAGGATGTAGGAAAGAGAGGGGCAGGTAAGGAGGCCTCTCCCTAAAATCTGAGTTCCTGTGACATTGGCCTCCTTACTAGTTCCTAAAACAAAGAGACTCAATCTCTCAGTTCCAGGCATTTTCATTTGTTGTACATCAAGCCCAGAATCCTCCCCTTCTTCATAACCATTTCCTGGCTTTCCTGGCTTCCTTAAAGTCCCATCTAAAATCCCACCCTCAAAGACATTTTCCTATGATTTGCATAACTCTAGCACCTTCCCTCTGTGGATTATTTCCTAGTTATCCTGAATATGGCTTGTTTTCCTGGTTCTTATATCAGTCTGAGAGAGAGAGAGAGACAGAGAAACAGAGAGAGAGTTGGTAACAGTACCAGGGCTTAAACCTCAAAATTCAGGAATCCTAATCCAATCCTTTATCAAGGGGTAGGGAATAAAACCTGTATGTTATCTCTTCCTGCTGACTTGGATTAATACTAGATAGTCTTTCTTCTAGTACAAGCCTAAATTAAATAATAGAACTAGAACTTTTTACGGTGAGTTTTTTTTTAAATGAACACATGCATACAGTATATTTGATTAACTGGTAACCTTAAAGTAGGATGGACACGAGCCTTACCCTCAATAAGATTAGGAGTAGAGTTAACATTTTCAACCTTTTTCACCCTTTTTCCTTGCCTCTCATCTAAGCAGATGTTTTGGCATTGCATTCTAGGCAATTCTGTTGAGAATATGAGCCATAAATATGTATTGATGCGGTGAATAAGACAGTATTAATTGTCTATTTTTACAGATAGAGGCAGCCATAAAATGCATCATAAGAACTGAAACAGAATGAACTCTGCTTTAATTTTCATTGGAAGAAAATATTTCATTACTAATTGCTTCACAGTTGCTAGCAATGAAGCCAAGGATCATATTGGGGCAACGATTCATAGAATCTTAACTCTAGTGACTTTTACCAGTTAGTGTGAAGAAAAGGAGTTGTGAAATACATCACCTCATCAGTAATGGAGAGGTAGACACCCAACAGAACATTAATCTTTTTCAATGAGAACATGGGCTAAAACCCCATACAAGTTTACAGAATACTACTGCCCAATGGTATATCTTGTAAGGGTGTAGAAAGTAGGTGGAAAAAATGTCAGAGTACCTGAACGACCACTGTGCTGTTTTTCCACGATGTGCGAGATAATGGACCCCTGATTTTTGACGTTACGATTTCACATAGCACTTTTCATCTGCTAGCAACAGACTTTGTTGACTCAGATTGGCTTGAAACTTGGTCTGCCATGCCAGATGTAGCAGAATCTTGAAATGGATCTCGTGGTGATATAGTTGGCTCTGTGAGGAGTCAACATATATGTCAGTAAGGAGGAGGAGGCCACCAGGTCCACGTGGAGTGGACAGCAATGTCTTCAGAGAGGTTCCACTGCAGTCTCTTTCTCACTGTTCAGCAAGTTCACCTAGGAGCTGCCCCAGTTGAACTGTGCTACCTATGCTGCGAGGACCCAAGAAGTTGGGCTTTCTTTCTAAAAAGATCATCAAAACATAGTGTTTAGATTGTAAGTGTTGCAGTAACTTGTGTTTATACACACATATGTGCTTATATATAAATATATATAATGTACATATATTTACATATGTACATATATCCTGTGCCACCTAGCTTCCCATATATAAACATATAGAAATAATATAATATAGGAATCACACATATATATATATAATTATTTTATTAACCTATACAATTGGGTTATATGCATTGACTATTGTTCATCTTTCATTCTCGAAGAGGACCAGTGACATCAGGAGGGTGATATCTTGACTTGCAAATTAATTGGATTTAAGTGAGACAGAGCTGGGCAAAGTCATCAGCCCCACTCTCTGCTCCACAGTCATCAGAGTTCTAGGCAAGATATAGATCAGGGCCACTGGAGGTGGCCCCAGAAGCATTGGGAGACCTTGGCTTTTTTTAAACTAAGGTCTTTCCCAAGTCTCAGTTTGTCTAAGGCAGCACCCATTCAGTGATGAAGGATAGGTAAGCAATGAGGCAAAAGATGGCCTTCTTTGTCTTCACAAAAGAATTCATCTGGGAGTGGAAGATCCTCAGAATTTCTGACCAGGGCAGAAGGTGTCTATCAAATTGAAACAGGCCTCTAAACTTGAAACAAGTAATATCTAAAGGGAATAACACCAGTCATTTACAACTTTGTTCAAATTAATTAGTTTATTTATTCTAATTAATCAGTTCTTGAGAATAAAATCTTACCAGTCATGTAAAATTTGCGGGATGAGAAGAGAAAAATGTATAGTACAATCTGGGGATAATATAATCAAAACTATGATTGTGTCCAGGAGGGCAGGCTTGGTAGTGAAGTTTAATGACAATCCCAAAGCTGATAGAGAGCAACTGGACATCACCTTCAAGAGGCAGGAAGGGGACAAAGAAAGGAAGATGGGGGAAAGGGTAGTACAGAACCAGAAGGGCTATAAAACAGGATGCTGCTTGAAGATCAGATCACCCAGCTCTGATTTTGATAGTTATATATCTCTTATTTTTTCCAAAGTAGTCTTACAAATAATATAAAGACCTGTAAGTAGAAACATATGATGTACTATGCCTTATCCAGAAGATAAAGAAGTTTGATACTTTTACCAAATAAGGCAAAATAGAAAAATATAAATCCAAGACCAATCTGCAGAAGGATCCTATCTTAGGAAATGACTGCACTGCTATGCTAGTACAATGTTGACATTTCCAAGAGATGGTTGCTGAGTGATGACATCATTGCTATGCCAGTAGAATGTTGACATTTTAAAGAAATAGTTGCTGAGTGATGGTATCACAAATCAACTGTCAGGAAACTTGCAGTGATTTGAACTCAATTCAGTTCAACAAATATTTATTAATTGCCTACTGTGTTGCTAGGGATACCAAATACTAAGGATCTGGATTCAAATTATGACTCACTTCTTCTGTGTCTATGCACATCTATATTTACACCGACATATACATATATACATAAATAAAATTTATACACGTAATGATAATACACATAGACATACATACATATAAATATATATGTATGCACACAAACACACACACAAGCATATTTGTATATATGTAAATATATATACATATATAAATATATATACATATATATATACACATATATATAAATATATATATACATATATATATATATATAAAATCTTACTATGAAAACTGTAAAACAGGTAAATGCTTGGAGATCAGATCACCCAGATGTGATTTTGATGGCTATATGTCTCTTACCTTAGTCCAAAGTAGTCTTACAAATGATATAATGAATTGTAAGTGGGAAAATATGATGTACTATGCTTTATTTAGAAGATAAAGAAGTCCAACATTTTTACAAAATCAGGTAAATCAGAAAAATGCAAATTCAATACCAAACCATAAAGCTCCTGTCTTACTAAAAGACTACACTGTTATACAAATAGAAAGCTAACATTTCAACTCAATTCAACAAATATTTATTAGTTGCCTAATATGCAGGTAGGGATACAAATTGAGTAAAACACTAAGGATCTGTATTCAAATTATCATTCACCATTTGTGTGTGTGTGTGTGTGTGTGTGTGTGTACACACACATATACATATAAACATATGTATATGTAAATATATACAAATATTTATGATACATATAAATGTACACATATATATATTTTAAACTTATTATAAGAAGCTATATGTTTCTTACCTTTTTCCACTGTAATGTTACAAATGATACAACTTGTAAGTAGAAGTATGTGATGCCCTATGCTTTTTCTACAAGATAGAGAAGTCCAAAGTTTCTACCATATCCAGTAAAATAGAAAAATGTAAATCAAGGAAAAATCTGTAGAAAGATCCTGCCTTATTAAACGGCTACACTGCTCGGCCAGTAGACTGCAAAAAATCGCTGAGTAGAGCGTTGACATTTTAAAGAAATGGTTGCTGAGTGAGAATACCACGAGGATGAGTGGTCAGGAAATGTACAATGATTTCAACTCAATTCAATTCAAGAAATGTTTATTTATTGTGTAATATTTGACTAGGAATACAAAATTGAGTAAAACACTAAGGATTTGGATTCAAATTGGGATTCACTCTTACATGTGTGGACATGAATACATTATGTCATCTCTCTTTCATCTGAAGTTTCTTCATCTGTAAAATGAGGAACACAAAGTAGAATAGGTTTGAAACCCCTTCTAGCTTCATGTTCTCTACTT